AAACCAAACTTCAAAAAAGATACTTAAAAGTCTATTGCATTTAAATTGCATTTTTTTGGTTTCAAGTTTTTATTTAAATTCTAGTTAGTTAACATACCGTGTAATATTGGTTTCAGGAGTAGAATTTAGTGATTTATCTCTTACATAACACCCAGTGGTCATCACAAGTGCCCTCCTTAATACCCATCCCCCATTTAGCCCATCGCCTGCCCACCTTCCCTCCATCGGCCCTCAGTTTGTTCTCTATCATAAGAGTCTCTTAGGGTTTGCCTCTCTCTCTTTCTTCCCCCAACCATGTTCATCTGTTTTGTTTCTTAAATTCCACATACAAGTGAAATCATATGCTATTTGTCTTTCTCTGACTTGTTTTGCTTAGTGTAATACACTCTAGTTCCATCCACATCATTGCAAATGGCAAGATTTCATTTTTTTTGATGACTGAGTAATAGTCCATTGTATGCACATATACCACATCCTCTTTAGCCATTCATCAGTCAATGGACATCTGGGCTCTTTCCATAATTTGGCTGTTGTTGATAACGCTGCTATAAACATCAGGGTGCATGTGTCCCTTCAAAACAGTATTTTGTGTCCTTTGAGGGTAGTTCTATTTTTCACTTTTCGAGGAACCTCTATGTTGTTTTCCAGAGAAGCTGCACCAGTCTGCATTTCCACTAACAGTGTAAGAGGGTTTCCCCTTTCTCTGCATCCTTGCCAACATTTGTTGTTTCCTGTGTTAATTTTAGCCATTCTGACATGTGTGAGGTGGTATGTCATTATAGTTTTGATTTTTATTTCCCTGATGATAAGTGATGTTGAGCATCTTTTCATGTGTCTGTTAACTGTCTATCTGTCTTCTTTGGAAAAATGTCTATTCTTGTCTTCTGCCTATTTCTTAACTAGATTATTTGTTTTTTTGGGGTGTTGAGTTTGATAAGTTCTTTGTAGATTTTGGATACTAACTCTTTTTTTTTAATATTTTATTTATTTATTTGACAGAGATCACAAGTAGGCAGAGAGGCAGACAGAGAGAGGAGGAAGCAGGCTCCCTGCTGAGCAGAGAGCCCGATGCGGGGCTCAATCCCAGGACCCTGGGATCATGACCTGAGCCGAAGGCAGAGGCTTAACCCACTGAGCCACCCAGGTGCCCCAGATACTAACTCTTTATCAGATATGTCATTTGCAAATATCTGCTCCCATTCCTAAGATTGCCTTTTAGTTTTGTTGATTGTTTCCTTCACTGTGCAGAAGCTTTTTATATTTCTTTTCTTTTCTTTTTTTTTTTTGGTGAGAGAGGAAGAGTGAAAAAGGGAGAGAAGGAGAGTGGGGGTGAAGGGCAAAAAAGAGGGAAAGAGAACATCTTCAGCAGGCTCCATACCCTGTGCGGAACCTGACGAGGGGCTTGATCTCACAACCCTGAGCTCATGACCTGAGCCAAAATCAAGAGTTAGACACTCAACCAACTGAGCCACTCAGGCACCCCAAGAAGCTTTTTATCTTGAAGACCCAGTAGTTCATTTTTGCTTTTGTTTCCCTTGCCTCTCATCATGTGTCTATTGCTATGGCCAATGTCAAAGCCTGTGTTTTCCTCTAGGATTTTGATGGAGTCCTGTCTCACATTTAGGTGTTTCCATTCATTTTGAATTTACTTTTGTGTATGGTGTAAGAAAGTGGTCCAGTTTCATTCTTCTGCTTGTTGCTGTCTAGTTTTCCCAACACCATTTGTTGAGGAGACTTTTTTCCATTGGATGATATTCTTTCCTGCTTTGTCGAAGATTAGTTGACCATAGTGTTGTGGGTCCATTTCTGGATTTTTCTCTTCTGTTCCATTGATCTGTGTGTCTGTTTTGGTGCCAGTACCATCCTGTCTTATTCCTTGCAGCTTTGTAATAGAGCTTGAGTCTGGAATTGTGATGCTTCCAGCTTTGCTTCTCTTTTTCAAGACTGCTTTGGCTGTTTGGGGTCTTTTGTGGTTCCATACAAATTTTAGAATTGTTTGTTCTAGCTCTGAAAAATGCTGGGGGTATTTTGGTAGGGATTGCATTAAATGTGTAGATTGCTTTGTGTTTCTTTTTTTCTTCTTGTCTCAGAAGAACCAGAGCCATAGGGTGGAATTTTTATTTCACTGATTTTGATTCAAAGAAGGAAAGCATTTTGTAATTGGGGCTGTGTAAGTTGGAGTGGATTCAGTAACTGGAACCATTAAAGCCCATGCTAGGCAGAGCTTTCGCTGGGATTTACTTTGAGAATTGGTGCTTTGTTCAGAAGGCTTTACCAAATGACCATTGTGTTCTCCACATGCTCTTAGTTTAACACACTTACTGTATGTCTGTTATGTCAGACTTGTTTTAAATGATACATAACACTTCAGTTAGATATGGTAAGTCTGACTTGTGCTATATGTCTGTGTATGTGAACTGTGTAAGTGACATTTCTATATTTTAGACCTATAGTTTGAAAAACAATTATGTCTAAAAGAAGTCAAGGATGATTTCAGAACAAGCGTACTGACTCTAGACTAGTTGAAATGGAACTGTGTGATGCAATTCAATGACTGGTCACATGAGTTTCCCTGGAGGAAAGACTGTTTTAGAACATTAAACTTGTAAATGAGATGAGAGAAATCTAAGCTTTCTTGCAGCTCTGTATTGTATATAGAAATTTTAAAAATCTGAGAATACTTTTCATTGTTGTTTTCTGTTTGGGCTTAAGAGGAAAGTACTAGATGACAAAAATTATTACATTTTTCCCTTTTATTACCCAATTGTTATGATACTTTAGTGGAGGAGGGAAATTTGTCCATTTCTTCTGCAAATAAAAAAGCTAAGTTTCTGTATTACATATGAACATTAAGTTCTTTGTTGCCTTATTAAGGAAATCACGTAGGCATGCTGTGACATTTTTTTTTTAAATCTCAACCAAAATTTTAGACCTTACATAAAAATTAACTCAAAAGAGACCACAGATTCAAACTTTTAGGAAAAGCATAAGAAAAAATCTTTGAGGTTTGGGCTAGGAAAGAGTTAGACTTGACACCAAAACCATGATCCATGTAAGGAAAAATTGATAAGTTGGACTTAATCAAAATTAAAAGCTTTTGCTCTACAGAAAAGAAGATTCTATTAAGAGAATGAAAAGAGAAGCTACATAACGGCAGAGAATATTTACTTACAAACTATGTATCTGACCAAGGACTACTATCCAAAATATATAAAGAACTCTCAAAACTCAACAGTAAATACCAAACAGTTTAAAGAGAAAATGAGCAAAAGACCTGAGGGTGTATATAGATGGCAGTGGAAGCTGTTCAACATTGTTAATGGTGAAGGAAATGCATATTAAAACCACGAGAGGGACGCCTGGGTGGCTCAGTGGGTTAAGCCGCTGCCTTCGGCTCAGGTCATGATCTCAGGATCCTGGAATCGAGTCCCGCATTGGGCTCTCTGCTCAGTGGGGAGCCTGCTTCCCTCTCTCTCTCTCTCTCTCTCTGCCTGCCTCTGTCTACTGTGATCTCTCTCTGTCAAATAAATAAAATAAAATAAAAAAATTTAAAAAAAAAAACCCCACGAGATATCATTACACAGTGACCAGAATAGCTAAAAATCAAAAGAAGTGACATCAAATGCTGGTAAAGATGCAAAGAAATTGCTCTCATATATTGCGGAACATATATTACATAACTGCTCTGAAAAGAGTTTTATTTTCTTTTTTTTTTTTTCAGGATTTTATTATTTGTCAGAGAGAGAGAGAGCACAAGCAGGGGATGCAGCAGGCAGAGGGAGAAGCAGGCTCCCCGCTAAGCAAGGAGCCCGATGTGAGACACCATCTCAGGACCCTGGAATCATGACCTGAGCCAAAGGCAGGCATTTAATGGACTGAGCCACCCAGGCATCCCATAGAGTTTTAGTTTCTTACTAAACCAAACTTGCAACTGCCATAAGATCCAACAGTTACACTCTGTGGTATTTTTCCTAGAGAAGTTAGAACTTATGTTTGCATAAAAAACTCTACTCAAGTATTTATAGCAGCTTTATTTGTAATGTCTTTCAGTGTTTGAATGGTTAAGCAGACTGTGGTACATCCATAAATGGAGGACGACTCAGCAATAAAAAGGATCAAACTACTGATACATTGCAATTCTGTAGATGAATCTCAAGGGAATTATGCTGAGTGAAAAATACAATCCCAACAGGTTACAAGTGTTACGTAAATGATTCCACTTACACAACACTCTCGAAACGACAGAATTATAGGAATGGAGAACAGATTAGTGGTTTTCAGGGGTTAGGGGTTAGGCAGGAGATCGTTGCAGGGAGGATAGACATTGCTATAGAATAGTATCATGAGGGATGTTGTAACGATAGAAACATTCTGTATCTTGACAGTATCATTGTCAATATCCTAGTTGTGATATTGTACTGTAGTTTTATAAGATACTACCTTGGGGGAAACTAGGCCAGGTGTACATGAGATCCCTCTCTATTGTTTCTTTTAATTGCATGTGATTATCTCAAAATTAAGTTTCATTAAAAATAGTAATTCTGGGTACCTGGGTGGCATAGTTGGTTAAGGTCCAATGCTTGATTTCAGCTCAGGTCATGATCTCAGGTTCGTGAGATCGTGCCCTGCGTTGGGCTCTGAACTGAACATGGAGCCTACTTGGGATTCTCTCTCTCTCCTTTTGCCATTTCCCCCACCCTTTCCTCTTCTCCCACTCTCTCTCCAAAATAAATAAATAATAATAAATAAAAATCATAATTCACATCCCTTTCCTACCATTGAAATAAATATTCAAAATGTTAAATAGCATCTTTGAATTCCAGACCATCACTGTGGGACAGTCGCCCATTAGAATGTGAAAAGAGCCCTTCTCTAAAATAGTATTTTCAGAAGTAAAAATACTAATAAAGGATTATCTGATTATTCTCATTTTTATTTTAATGTGCTTTAAAAATGTGCCTGTTGTAGTACATGTAAACTTTCTTTATTTTTTTCCCCAGGCTTTTTCTCATGGTTCTCATCATATCAGACATTATGGCTTTGGTAAGGCATTATTAGATATTCAGTATAAATAAGATTGAGAAAGTTAAGTGCTGATTTAATTTAATCAAGGGAAATCTGAATGCATTTCTGTGCATGAAATCTTTAGATATTAAGTTTTAAGTGCTGGCATAAATTACACATATAAATTACTTTCTTTTCATATGACTTATGCAAGAAGGGTGTTCTTCTGAAGGTGTCAAAAGCCTTACTTGATTTATTTGCATCTGTCATTTTATACCTAGTCTTCCATGGTGCATTGTGTCTGAAATGAGCCTTCCATAGGAAGTTCACAGAAAAAGCTAACTTTAGATTTAGGTAATACATCATTTTCCTACTTGAAATGTTGATTGTTCTAACCCTTCTCTAAGACTGAGAAAACGGAGGGAAGGAAGGAAGGAAAGAAGAAATAAAGCTTTTCAAGTGGGAAGATGTTACCAAGTTAATGACTCTCCTAAGTGAGTTCTGAGTAAGGAGCATACAGGTGGGCCTCTTGTATGTAGTATATTAAGAAAAAGAATCTACTTTACACCTACAAGTTTGGGGGTTCTCAAAACTACCCTCAGGTTTGATAATTCACTGGAAGGACACAACTCATGGAAAACAATTATATTCACAGTTATGGTTTATTATAGGAAAGGATACAGATTAAAGTTATCCAAGGGAAGAGATTCCGAAGGCAGAGTCTAGGAAGGGTCCGGCTGTGGAATTCTGGTCCTCCCCTCCCTGTGGAGTCAGGACGGCATTACTCTTCCAGCATTGGTGTGTGATGCTCATAGGGAGTGTTGCTAACGAGGCTCACAAGAGCCTTGGTGTCAACTTTTTAATGGAGATCAATCACATTTTGTTCCCATGACTGACCTTTAACGTTCAGTCCTTCTAGGGGTGGAACTGATACCACATGGCCCAAAGCCCCCAATACAAATCATGTTATTAGACAGTCTAATGGCTAAGGCCCCCCCAGGCAAAATACTCCCATTAAGCATGACATTCCATGGGCCTAGAAATCACTCCAGGCAGCTGAAGGCAAAGGCCATATTTCTCTTTAGGTTAAGCTCGTTCTTCACTATATAATATCCTATGCCAGAACAGATGAGAGACACCAAATGGACTAACTTCCCAATCAATTCTTAGTCACTTGGTTTAGGTGAGAGCATTTTTGTGTTCTGTTGAACTGGGTATCCGGTATGTATCTGAAATGGACAATACATAATAATGTTAGAAAAAATCAGCTTTCAGTTTTCCTCACAAAGTGGCAAATGAGTAAGACAGGTTAATAGAAAGGAGTTTAATTCTCTGATTAATTTTATAAACAGATTGCATTCTTTAGCTTACAAAGCCATTTGTGGCCTCGCTCCTGCTTACCTGACCAACATCATCTCAAACCTTGTTCTCTCCACACCAGGCTCCTCACCTCGACCTGCCGCTCCCTCTGGAATCCCAACATTTATATAGGTTTCTCCCTCTGTCAGAAACATACTCTCCTCTGATCTCCTCAGACTACTCTTTCATCTGACTCCTACTTTTTGCTTAGATCTGTAGACTTTTTATTGGGACAGCCTTCCCTTATACTCCATCTGGGTTATGTACCCCTTCCTTTGTGTTCCCATAATTGCATGTCTTTTCCAGTGTTAACACTCATCACACACACACACACACACCCCGATAATTTGATTGAATTATTCACTAGATTATATAATTCCCAAAAGAGAGTTTATCTCAAGGACCTAACACAGTGATTAGCACATAGTAGGCTGTCAGCAGATATTTGTTAATGAATGGATGATATGGCTATTTTTCACTGAGGTCTTTGGTATTGTTATTGTCTTTTATTAAAATCAGTAGAGCCTGCAACTAATTTAAGGGCCTTGAGTTCAAGCCTCACGTTGGGCTTAGAGCTTAATTATAAAAATTAAGTTCGTTATCTTTATTTTTAGCTATTCAGAAATGTCACTTTTGTGTTCATTTGAGTGGTAATGCTTATGTCTTGCTTTTAGGCCATTGCTCATTTTAGTCCAAGCAGAAATTTCTGTAAAGAGCATATTCTTATGGATTCTAATCATAGTAGTTATGAGAGGTCAAAAGTCTGAAACTCATAATCCTAAAATAACACTGTTTTTCATCTGAATCAAAATCCCTTTGTTTTTAATGGAGCTATATTTTGTTTTATTTTACAGCATTTTTTCTTCTTGGTCAGGGATTATGGCAGCTGGCTTGACATTGGAACAAGGTGCTGTATATATTCACATTGAAATTCTTTTTTTTTTTTAAGATTTTATTTATTTATTTGACAGATAGAGATCACAAGTAGACAGAGAGGCAGGCAGAGAGAGAGAGGGGGAAGCAGGCTCCCTGCTGAGCAGAGAGCCTGATGCGGGACTCGATCCCAGGACCCTGAGATCATGACCTGAGCCGAAGGCAGCGGCTTAACCCACTGAGCCACCCAGGCACCACACATTGAAATTCTTAAGAATACAGTGAAAAAAATAATAACTTGACATCTTAGTAGAAGGTACCAGTTTGATTTTTGAGGTAAACATAACAAGTAGCAATTATTTTAAGCCTCTGGAAGTGAGACATGTCTCTCCATTTCTTAGCATTAACACATTAGCACGTGTTTTCTTGGGATGATGTGAGGATAGATGCTAACTCTGGAGAGAATGATAGGACAGCTGGAAGGTGTAAGAGAAACTGTTTGAATCTGATCTGGGTTTTCCGAGTCTGTCCTCATAATCTCCCGGTCTTTCAGTGGCAGTATGAACTTCGTGTGGCAATTTAAATTGAGTGCAATCGTTATCTGCCTCTTAGAATCTTTCCTATGAGAACATTTAACATGTGAGACCTTACAACAGTGTTCTAGTATAATCTGAACAAAACGTCAGTTTTTTCTTTATTATGATTTGAGTGTGAATGATTGCCTTAATCTGTTAAATTTCTTCTCTGAGAGAAAGAAAGCAAAGTCGATCTTTTTGCCTTTTTTGCTTTCAAATGCACTCGGAGGCAATACACACATTTTTATAGACAGATTTTATTTCATTTAGTCAATATTTATTTAGTGCTTGTGTTGCTGGGAAGTGCGTCGGTTTGGGTGGGAGTGTGTTAGACAACCTCTCCTCTGTTCCTGCCTCTTAGGCAGCTCATTCCTGGTCCTGCTTTCTCGTTTATAGACACGTTTGCCTCCCTGCCTCATCTGATTTGAATCTCCTTCATTCCATATGTGCCAGGCATGTAAAAGGTGTCCCTATGTCATTTTGTTGTCATTGCTCTTAAGCTTGAATGCTTAGGGAAGGTTTTGATGTCTCGTTCTCTCTCCAGCCCTCTGATCCCAAAGTGTCCAGACAAGATAGTGGGTCAGAGCTCTAGACCACAGGCTCTCTGCACATGACACCGTCAGCGAGTGACTTAAGCCCTCTCATCCGCCCTGCCCCCAGTCTCGTGTGGTTGTCTGAATGCGTGACTCCACATGGAGCACCAAGCACAGCAGCCAGCACCTAAGAAGTTTCCGGAAAGGCCGCTATTACTATTAATGGTATTCCGTGGTTCTATCGTCTGTCCTTCGGGCTGTTTCTTGTGTTTCTCCTTACTCTCCCCGACATTTGATTAATTTTCTTTCATTTTAGACATACGCCAGAATTTTGTTTGGAATATATTCTCATAAAATATAGTGTTTTCGTGTGTGAGACTTTTTATTTTTATTCTTTTGAGACTTTTTATTTTTACTTGTAAAATAGAGAAAATACAAAACTTACCATCTTACCTTTTTTTAAGTGTACAGTTTGGCAACAGTAAGTATATTCACTCTGTTGAGCGATATCACCGTCACCCGTCCCCAGAACTGGGAGCTAGGGTAGGCTTGACTGTAAAAGGGAATGTGGGAACTTTTGGGGTGATGGAAATACTCTCTATCTTAACAGGATGTGAGGGTATTTACATGGTGTACCAAGTGTCAGTACTCATCGGACTGGAAGCTTAAAGCCGTTCCATTTTCTTACATATAAGTTATTCCTCAAAGATGACTCATAAGGAAAAACAGAATAAAAATTAACAGAAGAAAAAATAAGAGTGAAGTGAGAAGGATAGAGTATAAGTAGGCTCAGTTTTCCTCTTTCCTAGCAGGGACTTCATAGATAATGTTTTATTGTTTGTTTATTTATTTATTTATGTATTAATAGATAATGTTTTAAATTGACATATCAATGAATAGCAACATAAAGATACTAATTCATGGTAAGGAGGTAACCCTCAGAAGATCTAAAAAGAGAAGTGGCCAAAGCAGTTGTCTTGAGGCGTGGGGAAGGAGAAACGAGAATTCTCAGTTTTCATCCTAAATCTTCCTCCAGTACTGTATGTTTTTCGTACTGCATGTTTGACTCTGATAAAAATCAGAGGGAAAGGAATAAACGAAATGGGAGGTCAGGAAGCAGAGTTTAAGTGTAGACCACTCTTTCAAGCTTCATTAGAAAGGAAAGGAGAAATATGGGCAGTAACACATGGAACTCCCTCGCCTCTCCCTGAGAATTGATTGTCCTTTCATTTCACTCGGGAGTGTGAGGAGTGATACTACAGCTGGAAGGAGTGCGTGTCCCTCGATACAGCAATTCTGATCACGCTCTGTCAAAGCTGGGGTTCTGGAGCCAGTACGGGAGCCCAAATGGAGTAAGCTCATTGACAGAGTCGAGTCGAGGCAGAGACTTAGCACAAGGTCAGAGCCAGGCTGTGCATTGCAACACAGGGTCTACATGGCCAGCAGCTGGTTGTTGAAACGGGAGCCCGAAAGACACGATGAACGCAATTCAGAGACCGGGGAATCACTTCACATTAGATAAAGGCAAAGTAAGACAGAAGCTTGAACTTGAATAGGAGGTGCAGGATGTCCATCATAGGGTTGCCCCAGTCACACCTCTGCTACAGATGACCAACCTTTGGGTTGTGCTGCAGTGTTTTAAGGATCTCCCAGCATATCATTTCATGCGATCTTTATCATAACGCTGTAAAGTTGTTACTCTTTACAGTGGACATATTACTGTCTTCATTGTAGAGGTTAGAACACTGTGGCCCCTTTTAGAGATGAGGAGATTGTGACTTGCTTCTGTCACAAACCGGTAAATGGAGGAGCAGGTGCGGAGGACAGCGCTTCGGTAGCCAAGGCGGCGGAGTCCCCGCTGTCCCACGCTGCCTCTACTTACAGGGAATTTCCCGAAGTCTTGGTTTGTGATGCTCATAAACTCATTGTTAAAAGTCACTTTGTGTCTGATCCTGTGTGTGATTGTTGCAAAGGAACCATTCACTGCAGAGTTTTGGTAATATATGTTTAGGATTAAAGGAGAAAGAAATATTGATTAGGAGGGAATGAGCCAGGAGTAGCTGATTGTGTCCTTTGATGTACAGAAGTTTTAAATTTTTGTGTAATCCAATTTATCTATTTTTATTTTTGTTACCTGTGCCTGCTTGATCCTTTTTTAAAAAGAGGCTTTGAGCCATTGCAAAACTTATATTTAACATCTAGCATGACGTCCTCCCTGGCACTTGCATGCTACCTCCAGGCCTATTTCTTGCATTCCTTTACACAACCATCATGGGAATAAAGTGCTCATCAGAGCACAAAATAATTACAGAAAGAGAGACTAGAGGTGCATAAGACAAACATTGAGCATCATTCAAACCAAGGGAAACACAATGGTACGTCAGCCCTTGCGGTTTGAGAATGCTTTGATGACCCCCCACTCTGTGGTACTAATCATGAGAAAAGGACGTTAACTCCATATTTCAGTACTATAATTTATTGATGATACTTATTAAAATATTTAATTGATTCGTGGTATACAGGGTAAAAACTATGCTTTAGGAATATTTTGTGGTAATAGTACTTTTTATAATGGGAGCTGCCCTCCACACACAGTGACAAGTGCCAGGTTAACCTGGAACAGTCCTTGTTTATGTCTGTTGTCATGGTGCACTTGTTACCCCCACCCCCACAAAATCCAGAGGGGCTGGAAAGGTGATAAAGGCATAGCCAGTTAGTAAGTTAGGCTAAACCACAGTTCATTTCAGTCTCAGTGCTCCGTCCTCGTAGATCTGACTCCCATAGGTGAAATGGGTTGCTTGTCCTGAGAGGCTTCTCGAAGGTGGGTGGAATGGGGGACTTCAGAGCTCAGGTTCTGTTTTCCAGGCTGAAAGCAGTGAATGGTCCTCCATAAATTCCCCACATAGTCTTCTGGTCATCCCTGCTGAATTACCTCCTAGCTCTGTTGTTCGGCTTGTCTCTTAATATCATGTCCAAAAAATGCCCTCTTAACGAAGAAAGATGATTGCAGAGGGGAGGTGGGGGATGGCAGGGGTTGGGATAAGGAAACAAAATGAAATCCAAGTTAGAAAAACTGGGCTTCTAAATGGAATTGCCTGGATTGAGGCTGCAGGGGGATGTTTTTTATTTGCTGCTGCTCCTGTTGATAAGTTAGAATTCTAGAATCTTCTCTGTGTATCCTGTGTAGCAGTGATGGCATGTACCACCTTGGGGAACCATGTGGGACAGGTCTGATGAGCACAAGTGGTTCACGCATGTTCATCAGCATCTAATTTATTGCCAGGAAAAGGCTTGGATAATGGCTGGAAAACATGCTTCAAGATTCACAGCTAAAGCACCATATAATAGGGTTCACGTTATCAAGACTTCATTTTTGTACTTTATCCTGCATTCTGTTTGTAAGAATGTTGCTTTTAAGTTGTGGGTTTCTAATTATTCCTGCGTGAATGTGTATATGAAACGCTGAGATTTTTTTTGTCGTGTTGTAGGTATTACTAAATTAATTGGCAGTTTGTTTAATGGGATCTAGAGTTACTTGAATTGTGCTCCTGTGGTGGTTTCCTTTTGTGGCAAATTTTATTTCTAAACTCCTTTTTATTAGTAATATAGTTGATAACTTTAGCCGTAACATGCCTATTATATACAGGAATGGAATGTTGTCATTTCGTCCTTACTGCTTGGTTGCCTTATGAATACAGAAGCAGTAAGAACATGTCTCAGAATTCTAGAGAGGAGTGGGAGTTCACCACCCCATGACTGTGGCCTGCACGTGTCTGTAATGGTCGTAGTGTCATCGTGGTGATCGCAGTGGGTTTTCAAAATCAGTTTGGGAGTTCCTCAGCTGTTAGTTTCAGGTTAACAAATAAGTAGTAGCTACTTTAAAAATGAAGATTGTATTATTAGGGGATGAGACAGTATTTGTGTTTATGGGTATAGTCCAGTATGTTTGAAAATGCATCTTCGGAGCAGATTTTACCAGAATTAAACTGAGGCTCTTCAAGGAATATACCCAGTCAGTAGAGTCGGCTAAGCCTGGGGCTGGGAGCTCAGTGGTTTTCTAGAGAACCTTGTGGCATCAGGTGTTCTTTGAACAGCCATGTGAAAAATATCCTGCCCAGGCCATAAAACTGAGTTGGGCTGTCAGAGCTACAATTTAATATTTTCTTCTTTTGATCTTTTACACTGTGTCTTCATTCATAGTGAGTTGTAAACTTCACAGAGTCCTGCCTTTTATATGGCATCCTAAAAGAAGTGCATTTCATAAACTAGAGAAAAAGTTCCTTTGAGATAATCTTCATAACTATAAAAACAAATTTAAATTTATGCTCTAAGTGTATTTGGTATGAGGTGAATAGAGTCAGCGTGACCTGTTTGATTGGTTTGATTTGATGGTGGTGTTCATTTGGACATTGTTTCCTGTGTGCACTATTTATACTTTATTAAAATACAAATGACAGCTAAAGTATCATTTCTATCTAGATAGGATAACTTCTCATTATGTTCAATACTATTTTAATACCCTCCTAAATGTAATTAATCAGTGCCATAAAACACCTTTGCTCTTATAATAAATACTAAGCTTTATGAAAATCAGTGATTCTCAGACTTTTTCTTCTCCTACATCTGACAGAGATGACCTGCTTCTGTTGCCCTTTACCCTGACTGAGAAGTACAGTCAGCTTGTTAGCACCCCTTATACCAGCTCAAACAGGCCTTCCCGGGGCCTCGGTATGCCCCTCCGGGCAGAGACCCTGTCCCTCTGCCATCACACGGGGGCACCTTGAGAATACCTGACGTCCAGATGGTGCCGGGGAGAGAGCGGGAACAGCTGAACTCCTTTCAACTGGAAATTGGGTGCTCCTTTAACTCTGCTCTACTAAGACGACGCCGAGACTTGATTGATGGAAAATATCACAAGCTGAATGAATGCCTTTTGGCTCCATTGCTTGAAGATGATGAGCTTCACAACTATTTCCCACCAATAATGTTAGCTTAAATCAGCCCAGAGTTTGTGATTTCAGGCAGCTGTAAAGAGATAAGTGATCTGTGAAATACCTTTTATGGATAGACTTCCACTACCAAATTTGAGGATAGCCGCCTACCTACTGGCTTTATGAAACTTACTAAGAAATCAAGTCATATTTAATATTATTTACATTAAAGCAATTTAAAATGTTAAGACTGTTTCAGGTAATTTAAAGTATTAAAAGTGATAAAAGTTCTAAAAGAGCAAAATCTAGGAGCTTTGGCCTGGAGATTAATGACGAAATGTACCCCTTTTCCTTTGTGCAGATGCTTTGACTATAAAACTTTTACTTCCCTGAATTTGAATCTGGGTAACGTGTGTGTGTGTGTTTGGTAATTTTGTTAAAGTACTTCTAACTTCTGTCAAAGCATAGAATGGCCCACTTTAAAATGTCAGAATACTTAACCTGGGGACAGTAACCTTGTAATGGTGACAAAGACACAGGCGCTGCCAGTATCAGTCAGACATTTCATAACATTACAGTTGTTGGAGAAATCTCAAAATATTCTTTATGCTCATCACTACTTGTATAACCAATTTGTTTTTTAAATTTGACATCTATTTCAAAATCGTTGGTGGGGGCTGCCTGGCTGGCTCGGTCGGAAGAGCATGGGACTCTCGGTCTTGGGGTAGTGAGTTCGAGCCCCATGTTGAATGTAGAGCCTAAAAGAAGTAAATAAACTTGAAAAGATCATTGGTATCTTTTGTAATTCTGTGTATTTTATGTATACATTTAGAATCATTATTTAGAGGTATCTTACGTTCCTTCCCATACAGGTTCTCTCTTCCTGTAACATGTTTCTTTTTCTCCTTCTGTAGCATCAGCCACTACGTGATTGTCATGTCTATGACCATCATTCTGGTGTTTCTCAATGGCCTGGCACACCTGCTCACAACCAAGAAACTTGAACTCTGTGGCAAACCCAAAAGCCACCTCATATGATACTACTGTCGCCATCATTCAACATCCGGATCCTGTTTCTCACTCGCCTTTTAAACCAAACTCTTATCGAGGATTCTGTAAGAAAATGGATATTGATATACAGCATGTTCTGCTCCTACCAAGAAAATGATATGTAGAATTCTGAATTTACAGCTTGTCCGGAATAAAGGAGCTTCCATTTTCTTTAGGTTTTGTACACGTGGAATAGTGGTCATATCTGTGGCAAAGCATAGTAAGCTTTCTCCGTTTGCATTTTCTTCCTTTAGCTGGCATCTCTTCTCTCTGATGTTTCAGAGCACCTGTAACAGTCTGGTCACCAACGGGGCAACTCCCCACCCACTCGAAGGAGGGTGTGCTCCTGTGGGGAAGGCCGCGATCACATTCAATGACAGAGAAACTTGACGGGAGTCACTAGGTGATACCTGAAATATTTATCAGCTCCCAGCACTGGTTTTGCAAGTAGTTCTATCTACTAAGTGCTAACACTAGAAAGACAATCAGGATCTGTCACTCCTGAAGCCTCAGTGGAAACGGTGCTGCCAGGTGTTTGTCATTGTCCTTAGTGAGCAGCAGGACTGCCTCTATGCTGTTCCAGGGTGTTCCTCGTGTACCGGCCAGCTGCAGGTTTGACCTTCACTCCTTTTTTTTTCCCCCCATTTCTGGATTCCCATTGGAATTTCAGGAGATGGAAAGGTAGAAAATGCTTGGTATTTGTATCTAGTTCAGGGGAAAATTTTTTAAAGGGAAAATATTTAATTGTAGACTCGGTATTTGTTACCCCCCATACCTTTTATCATGTATTGTTTCAACAGAATTCTTGAAGTCAATGGTTAAACTGACACTACCACAGAAATCATTGTTGACATTGCTTATCTTTCATGTTGTAAGATTCTAGCCCAAAGGCCTAGAGTCCTCTCATTTAATTTAAATTTCCATCTGTAAACTAATTCTAATGGACAAAATATTTTGAGAGTAATTTTTGTTTGGATTTTTCATAAAGTGACCTTTATATAGCACTGTGGAGTTGGCCTTTTGCCCACGGTGTGCTCGTCAATTTTTGGCTGATGCTAAGCTTTGCTGGTCTGAGTCCCATTTTAAAAAAATAATTGCTTTTGAATTAAATTATAGCATTGCTAACTCACATCAATGATGAAGAAGCCCTCTACAAATTACTAGATTTTTGAAATTGGCAAGTGAGTGAGCAAATACAATTTGGAAGATTCGAAAGTCAGTTTGGCAAAATGTGCTTCCTAAATTTCTGCTTCTGATGAAGTGTGGTTATTATTTGTGTGTGATAGGACTTCATGGTACACCAATGACAGCACCATAGTAAGAAAAGAAAAGAAAGAGACCAATGTCAGTATAGGATAACATACATCAGTCTGTAATATAAAATTTCTATCAACAACTAAGAAACTGCTGTTAGCAGGTGATGACATTGGCAAATATAAAACCCATGAACTCTAAAATGTCTCAGAGTATTTAATCTGTTTTTAAACAAGTCAGAGAAAACTGACTTTATAAACACTAGTGCTAAATTTAACTCCTTTATATCCTATCTACCTTCCATCTTTTCCCAGATTTTCACACGGAGGAATTAATGAATATTTTATTATGGCATTGTAAAAGGTGCTCAGTGCTTTACCTTTATTTCGTTCTTTGAAGCACATCTTTTCCTAATATGGTTTGGAGTCAGTGGGCGCTTGCAAAGCAGGCATATGTCCTTGTGGCACAGGCTGGCCTTGCTGTGCTGTTTATTGGGAGCCTCAGACTCGCTTGGGAACAGTTTGCTAGATGGACCTTTTCTGTTGTGCAGCTTGTCAAATACCTTGAAATGCATATTTTTATATTAATAACAAAAAATAAATATGATTTAAATATGTTTCTGTTTAAGGCATTTACTTTTTCATCCTGTTAATACCAGATCTCCAAATCAAAACTTAAGACATTTGCTGGTTCGTATTTGCCTAAATTAGGAATTCCTATAATAATTAAAGGGTGTATGTCAGATTGAGAACAAATACTGAACAAAAAAGCCATGGACCGTGAATAAATCTTGGAGCATAGTCTAAGGACTTCAGAAGCTAAGTGCATCTATCCATAATTAATCAATGTTTTAGTTCTCTGTATTATTATATTTAGTGTGTACTATTTAGAACATAAAAGGCTTTATTTTTTTTAGGGAAATGTTATAAATGGTAATATATTTTCATAATAATGCCTGCAAAATGATCTAACAATGATGGAGCTGGACTACGGACCCAGATACCTATTCATCACTCACCATATTGTTTCTCCTGAAAAACTCATTCCTGTTTTCAGCCAAGTCACATATCAGGAGTATATATGTCTCCCATCCCCACACATGACTTTATACACTTGCAGTAGGTTAAGGACTCCTTTGCTCCCCCACCTTTGACATACCTCTGCCATCAAAAATGTCATTTCTGATGGAGCTGGAGTGGGGGGAGGAGGAAGGGTTAAGGTGGAAGGGGGCGGACTGTCTCCAGAGGCAGTATCTCTGCAGGGTTCCAGCTCTCCCGGTGAGAACCTGGGTTGCTCCTAGATAAACCCTAGACATCCTAAACATCATCTGATCCAGGGGGCTGACAGCTATGAGCTAAATTGACTCAAGTTATTTGGAGCGGACCCCCTTTTGGCAGTTTCTAGGACTCCCCCCCCCTTTTTTTTTTTAAGATTTTATTTATTTATTTGTCAGAGAGAGGGAAGGAGAGCGAGCAAGCACAGGCAGACAGAGTGGCAGGCAGAGGCAGAGGGAGAAGCAGGCCCCCTGCCGAGCAAGGAGCCCAATGTGGGACTCGATCCCAGGACGCTGGGATCATGACCTGAGCCAAAGGCAGCCGCCTAACCAACTCAGCCATCCAGGCATCCCTGGAGGACTCCCTTTAAGAGGCCAGAGAGAACTTGGTAATTTCTCACCTTTTCAGAGTCATTCTTTATATATCTACATTTTCTCCATCTCTTGTAAAATGCTTTGAAGTGGGATTGTTATGGTGTATGTTTTCAGTACTGTGGTAATATCTTGTAGCATTTTTCATCAAGGGATGTAAAAAAGGTAGGTGAGATTTCTGCACTTAATACTCATTCTGGGGGGTGCCTGGGTGGTTCAGTGGGTTAAGCCTTTCCTTCGGCTCAGGTCATGATCTCAGGGTCCTGGGATCGAGCCCCGCATCGGGCTCTCTGCTCAGCAGGGAGCCTGCTTCCCCCTCTCTCTCTGCCTGCCTCTCTGCCTCCTTGTGATCTCTGTCTGTCAAATAAATAAATGAAATCTTTTAAAAAAAAAAATACTCATGCTGTAACAAGAGCATTTGAGAAGTAATGTATCACTTACTAACTTATTAATGCAAACATCGCTGTTTTTCAACTCCTCCCCCTTGGAACAGCAGTATTTACTTGGGACATAGCAGTTCTCAAAATTATGTCTCTTAGAACATCAGTTCTTTAGGATTTCCAAGGAATCCTTTCTTGTGATACAAAGAGATGTCATCATAAAAAGGGATCTCTGATCAAATACATTGAGAAGTACTTAGTCAAATGAAGTTAAATAGGCATATTTATTATAGTACTTAAGGAATTTAACTTGGTCTATGCATTGTAAAGGGAGAAAAAGAGCGGTATGCCAGCAATTTCCACTTGCTTGGCTGCAGACCCTCCTTCAATTTTCCCTTCTGTCTGGTAAGCACGGTTCAGAAATGTCACCGTATACTTTCACACTCAAAACCTGTTTGTCACAGTTTTGGAAAATGGTGTTCTATGCTTAATTGAATCTGTTTTCTGGAGAAAATCTTAACCCTTAGTGTGGGAAAACTTTAAAATTGTACCTGCCTTTTTATAAATTGTGCCTACTGACCATGTAGTCTCCCATGTGGGACCCTCGTGTACTAGCATACGGCATCCAGTTCATCCCCGATCATCAGATAGCCCTGACGGAACTTGCACTAGGTCTTTATACCTTATATTTTACAGTCTTTACCAGAAAAATACACTCACAGCAAATATTGGCTTTTCTCTTGTGATCTGTCCCTATAGGAGGTGATTACTAGTTAAAGTTTTTATGCCTTCCTTGGTTTTTCTGTTTTACTTATTTCTCTCCTGCCCTTCACTACTCATGTCACTCCTCTCTCTTAGCCATGTTAGAAGCTGGTGTGGATCCACATAATGGATTGTCTTCATGAATAGTTCCCATCAGCTCTTCCATTCAGTGTAGATAGGGTGTGAGTGGATGGTGCTCAGCTGGGCCAGTGTCTGCTTGGCATTCTCTCCTGTGGGGTAACTGAGCCTCCATTGCTAACTGTGTGTGTCTGGCAGGAGCCAAGTGGGATTTTTCTTCCCTCACCACAGTTGACTAGTTTAGAGGTGCACATCTGACACAAGCTGGGCCATTCGGAGTTCTTTGCAAGATTCTCAAGCTAGAAAGGAGAGAAACTTTCTAAGATTCCAAGTTGAAGAGTTATTGATAGCTAGGTTGGATGGAGCTACTCTAGACGCCTCCTGATAGGTAACCTTCCATTACATGCTTACTTGTCCAATAAAAAGAGGGATTATTTTTACTATCATTTCTAAGGACACGGTGGATAATGACAAGTCCAAAGTTTCACTCAAAATGCTTAGTTTTGTATATTCTTTTTCCTTCTGCTTTCTAAGCTGGAAATCAGTGGGACAGAATGGTTCAGTGATGTTCTTTGCAGGTCTGTTTGGCTCTGCCCTCTGCTACCTGGCTTCTCTTGGTTCCAGCCATCTTGTAAACCTTCCCATTCATTTTCAAAAAAAATTTGTCTGCATTTCTGTTACTTACAGCCAAGAACTTTAATGGATATGCATGCTTTGAATGTGTTTGTAAATGATCTCTTAATGTTCAGTGCAATTTCTTTTTTTTTTAAGATTTTATTTGTTTATTTGTGAGAGAGTGAGCATGAACAAGGGGGAGGGGCAAAGGGAGAGGGAGAAGCAGACTCCCTGCTGAGAAAGGAGCCTGCCTTGGGGCTCCATCCCAGGACCCTGAGATCATGACCTGAGCCAAAGGCAAAGGCTTAACTGACAGAGCAACTCAGGCGCCCCTGTTTAGTGCAATTTCTAATTATGACTTTTTAAAAATTTGTGATAAAACTTAGAAAGCCCTTACAATGTGCTGGCACGATTTAAATGCTTTACAAATACTAAACTACT